ATGAAAGACATTAATGACAACCCATTTGGACAGGAGAAGCCTTTGTCCACAGTTAGACCTTTTCAAACAAGAAACAAATGGCATGGTTTCCTAATCAATCTCCCTGCTGCCAATTGTCCACAGGTGGCTCCCAGAATTATCACACAAAAAAAATCCTGATTGAACTGGTGGCTCACACTTGTCATCCTAGCGCCTCAGGAGCCTGAGATGTGAGGATCATGGTTTGAAGCCAGCCCAGGCAGCGAAGTCCATGAGACTCTTTATCTCCAACGAACCAGCAAAAACTCAAAGTGGTAGAGCACAAGAGCTCAGGGACAGCACCCAGGCCCTGAGTTCAAGCCCCACGATGAACAGAAAGCAACAACAACAAAAATAGGTAAACAGATGAGACAGGCAGGGAGAGAGAGAGGAAGAAAGAAGACGATCGTGTCCAAACTGCAGTTTACGTGCATAGATACTTCAACGCCATCACTGCTAGCCTAATCAAAGGCTAGCGCCTCTCATTAGCTGAACACATCATTCTCCACCAGGCGCTGGCAGGAGGCAGCAGATTCGTGGGAGGAAAGGACCTGCCTTACCTAGGTCTCATCACCGTGTCTCCTGCCACAGTGAAATGTAAGCCACAATGGGCACAGTGGCGGGAACAGCCTCCCGCCCAACAGTAAGACAACTGATCTCCAATGAGCACTTTGGACTGAGCCTCAGACTCGCAGACCAATGTAAAGAATTCAGAACAGCAGCAGCTGAGAGACACGCTCTTCCTGTGGCCTCATCAGTGAAAATCTCTCTGAAAAAACCATTATTTATTTGGGGACAAGTTATCTATGTCATTTGAATATTTCACTCAGTCAACAGATTCTAGAATGTGCAAAACTATTTTTAAATATGAATGTAGCAAACGGGAATAAATGGATTTATTTTAAAATAGAAGTACAACAAATGTGCAAACAAATGTTAAAGCTGTTAACCTTAGTGCCCCCCCCTCCTTCCCCCGGTGCCATCCTGGAGCTTCAAAACTCAGGGCCTGGGCACTGTCCTTGAGCTTTTTTTTCAAGGCTAGCACTCCACCACTCAAGTCATAGCTCCACTTCTGGTGTTTTTGGTGGTTAATTGGAGATAAGAGTCTCACGGAGTTTCCTGCCAGGGCTGGCTTCAAACTGTGATCCTCAGATCTCAGCTTCTTAAGTAGCTAGGATAATAGGTATGGGCCAATGGTGCTTGGCTCTATGTTTTGGTGCTGGTACTGGGGCTTGGACTCAGGGCTAGGCATTATCCCTTAGCTTATTCACTCAAGGTTAGCGTTCTACCACTTGAGCATCAGCTCCACTTCCAGCTTGTTTTTTTGCTAATTGGAGGTAAGAGTCTCATGGACTTTCTTGTCCTGAGTTGGCTTTGAATCATGTTCCTCAGATCTCAGCCTCCAGAGTAGCTAGGATTATAGGCTTGAGCCACCAGTGCCAGGCTAAAACCGCATTTTAAAATCTTTAGTTCAAATCCTTAGCGTTGTGTGGCGATGTCTGCTCAGTAACTGTTTATTGAGTAAATGAATGAATGGAAATGTACTCTTTAGAATGAGTTTTAAGAAGCTGGCATTTCTAATGACATTATTTCATAATTACAACATTAAGGCTAGGCCAGCAGCCATGACAGTCTTCTAGGTATATCCAAACCCTTAACATTTAACATTGACAACCAACATGATGCTGAGATCTGGTGTTTCAGGTGTTTTCCTTTCATTACCTTTCCTAAAGGAAAGGAAATGGTGTCCATTAGCACATGCTCAAAGGAACTACAATGAGCAATGTGGATGGATTCTCATGGGGACATATAGAAAGGAAGCAGAGCCAACGTTTTTATGATTCCTTAACTAGGAAGCCTGTGGATTTAGTCCCATATTGGGGGGGGGGGGGAAGTCTGCGGATTAATGGAGCGCCTATACTGTGACTTGAACCTTTCTGAGTGCTGCCAGATTTCCCTCCCTGGAGAATCTCCAAAAGTCAGACACCACAGTCATTTTTAGCTCATCCATTCAAACACACTCTTAGCACCTCCTGGGTGTTTTAGATAATGTGCTAGGTTGCAGAGATACAGAAGGGGATGGAGCCAAAAATCTGTCGAGCAAAGGGAGACTTGATAGATCTTTTTTTAAAAAGCAACGGATAAAGTTCTCAGTTACAAAGTGAATGAAGGAGAGCAAACGTCATCAACTTATTTCTAAGAGAGGAGAACTCCTTACGCGTTCCTTCTGATTTTAGCAGGTTGATAAAGCAGTCAGAAATGTCCTATATAAAACAACCAGCAAAAACGCTGTATGCTAGTGGTTCATCCTGTCATCCTAGCTACTCAGGAGGCTGAGATTTGAGGATTGGGGTTCAAGCCCAGCCAGAGCAGGAAGGTGTGTGAGACTCTTACCTCCAATGAACCAACAGAAAACCAGAAGTGGTGCTGTGGCTCCAAGTGTCCAGGAATAGCTCCCAGGTCCTGAGTTCAAGTCCCACAACCAACAAAACAGACAAATAACAACACAACAAAAACCACCAGCAAGCTAGGTGCCAGTGGCACATGCCTATGATCCTAGATACTCAGAGGCTGAGATCTGAGGATGAAGGTTTAAAGCCAGCCTGGGCAAGAAAATCTGGGAGTCTCATCTCCAATTAATCACCAAAAAAAGCTGGAAGTGGAACAGTGGATCAAGAGGTAGAACATTAGCCTGAACAAAAAAAGCTCAAGGATAGTAGCCAGGTCCTGAGTTCAAGCCCCAGGATTGGCATAAACAAACAGCGATTTTTCTTCCAGATGGTTTGTAATGGACTTGGAGCAATGTAGACGGTTATGGCAAAAGAGATTTTGTATCCATTGTCAGGAAAATCATTTTGGGTGGCAGTCACAGCCTCTAATGTGGAAAGAATTAAAGTCAGATCATCTAGTGATCTCAGGTGACCACTACCCACAGGAAGGTCATCACTCTGGAAGGAGTGACCATTTTTATTTATTTATTTATTTTTGCCAGTCCTGGGGCTTGAACTCAGGGCCTAAATGCTGAACCTGAGCCTCTTGGCGTTCAAGCACATCTGGCTTTTTCTGAGTAGTTTCCTGGAGATAAGAGTCTCACAGACTTTCCTGCCCAGGTTGGCTTTGAACCACAATCCTCAGATTTCAGCCTCTTATGTAGTTGGCATTACAGGCGTGAGCCACTGGTGCCTAGCTCCTTTCAGTGTTTAAACATAACTATTGTACTGTTTTAAAATATCAGAGCTATCTGGTTGAACCACTACTAAATATCCTCATGCTGCTGATCACAAATATGGTATATAACATGTGAACACTGTTATATATTACAGACTGTGGTAGACAATTTGCTCCAGGGAAGTTAGAATGAACTTGTGACTTTGAAATTATGTAATCATTTAATCACAATCAAAAAAAAAAAAAGAACCTCAGGGAAGGGAGGGAGGGAGGGGATGGTAGGGGGAAAACAATGGAGGGGGTAACAATGTTCAAGAGGAAGTGTACTCATAACCTCACTCATGTAACTGTAACCCTCTGTATAGTAGCTTTACAATAAAAAAAAATAAAATAAAATATCAGAGCTTTAAATGATAAAGAATTACTCAAAGGAGTAGTATGAAGCTACATCGAAACAATTTGCTGAAAGTATTAAAAAAAGATAGAAACAACCCCCAAACCTCAGCTTGCAGAACCTATAAAGTGAACCCCATTACCTCACAAAGAAGTGATTTAATCATGTGTCAAAACCCACAGGTCCAAGTGCAGAGACACTTAAACACTTAAGGAAGATCGGGCAGCATTTTATGAGTATTATATACTTAAGGTATTAGGAAGCTAACTTTCTTCTGAAAACATCTATAAGGTGTATTTCTGCAGTCAAAGTAATCAGGGAGCCTGAACCAGGGCCTGGGCACTGTCCCTGAGCTTTTTTCTCAAGGCTAGTACTCTACCACTTGAGCCATAGCTCCACTTCCAGCTTTTTTTTTTTTTTTTTTAAGGTAGTTTATTTGAGATAGGAGTTCCATAGACTTTCTTGCCTGGGTTGGCTTCTAACTGTGATCCTCATATCTCAGCCTCCTGAGTAGCTAAGATTACATGTGTGAGCCAGCAGCAACTGGAATAATCATGACTTTTAACTTATTTTGTGTTGGTAGTGAGGCTTGAACTCAGGGTCTGGAGTGTGTTCCCTTAGTGCTTCTTGCTCAAGACTGGCAGGTATGAGCAGCTAACACCTGGCTATCTCTCTTCTTAAAATCCTTTGATGGTTCACTATAATAGCAAAGAAACCCCCAATAACAAACTGTATTGTGTAACACTAAATGGTTCTAGTGAATGACCACGCTATTTTGCATCTTTGCAGGGCTGTTCACTTCCTGCCTCTGGTTGGAATATTTTCTTACTTCTGTTAAGCAATTAAGTCAGTTCAGTAATTATCTTGAAGGCTTTTCTTTTTTGCCACACTGGGGATTTTCATTCAGAGCCTTTGCTTTCTTAGGTAGATGCTCTACCACTTGAACCATGCCCCCAGTCCCTTTTCTGACTGGTTATTTCCAAAATTGGGTCTCACTTTGTGCCTGGGTTGGTCTGGTCTGCAGTCTTGCTGCCTGTTACTCCCTGGACCTGGGACATCTTACTCACAGGAAGTTTTTTTCCCCCCCTTCTTCTGACAGTCTTCTTTGTGAAACATCAAAAACTTTCCATGTGTGTCTCTATAATTATGTTTATCAGGTTAGATGGAATCTATGAACAAGTTCACTTCTCTTTCTCCAGGCAGGAACCCTGTCAGCATCTTTAGCACATGGCACTGGGCTCAGGGTAGCAGGTGTTTGATATAAGCCTAGGAAGCACTAGGATTTTTTGTTTGTTACTTTCTGGTGTGAGTTAAAATTTATAACCATCACTCCAACTTTTTCTCCATGGAGCAATAAAAACCATCTCTCCTGGCAGACAGAACATTAGCCAGTGCACAGTGCTGTGACGTTTGTACTTACCCAAATTGCTGTATGTTGCACTACAGGGGTTCGGGTCCATGGGATCTGAAGTGTCATCTTTTTCCTCCTCCCTTTCCAGGTCCGGGGCAGGCGGTGCTGGTGTAACGGAAGTGCCATCTTGCTTCCTACTAACAGTTCTTGGATCCTGAGGAGAAAACCCCTCTGGTACTTCTTGGGTCACGTGGCTGAAATAAAACAGAACACCTGTCATCACACTGGTGTTCTCGAGCTGTGTTAAAACTTCAATGTCTGGAAGACACACCCAGATAGACTTGTCTGAACAACCTGGGGCGATACCTTATTTCTGCTGACAATCTGGTATGGTGGCGGGAGGGGGTTGGGCAGACTCAAGGGGGAGCTGCAGAGTAACAGGAGAGCTTTAGAATGACTTTTAGGGACAAGGTGGCAATGGTAAGATAGAATACAAAAGTGGTTGAAGACAGACATATACAAAGGATTTAGCATACTTACTGTGTTTATTATACTATGTGAATACTCTAATACTATGGTAGTTAACATTTGTCACTGTATAGTATTTCATTTATTTAGCATATAGTATTTACTACATACTAAAGCATTTAGCAAAGAACCAGGAATGAAATAGGACCATTGAGCAAGAAAATAACGCAGCTCTTTTGTGTTTGGTGCTGACATGGGGGCTTGAACTCAGGGCCTGGGCGCCTATCACTTACCTTTCTTCGCTCAAAGCTGGCACCCTATCCTTGAGCCAGACTCACTTTTGGCCATTTGGTGGTTCATTGGAGATAAGAGTTTGTGGACTTTCTTGCCCCAGCTGGCTTTGAACCTAGATCCTCAGATCTCAATTTCCTGAGTAGCTAGGATTACAGGCGTAAGCCACTGGCACCGAGTTATTGTAACTATTTTGATAGGTAAACCGAGGAGATGCATGCTCTGTTGCCAAGAGGAGGTAAAAATCAACCCTCGCCTATATGCACCCAGCAGGAAGGCAAATAGAAAAGGAAGTTCTACATTCTAGCTAGTCTCATCTTTTAGGATGACCCTGAGGCATTCTGTGGACCATGAACCAGTGCTTGAGCAACTGTGTTTAACCAATGCCAGATCACTTGCTACTTTTTTCCATTCTCCTCACACCTTCTCCTGCTTGACCTGTGCCAATCCTGTAGCTATAGGTATGTAGGTTGGGGGAAGGTCAAAGGTTAGGAAATGGAGATTTAGAAAAATGGCCCAGTTAGCAAGTCTCAATGGGCTGGTCAATGAAATAAATGTTTTTTTTTAAAAAAAATCGGACATCTTTAAAGGGTTCTGGTGGCTAAAATGTGGTCTTAAACCACAACTCATGCTCATCAGCTCTTCCTGACTCTTCATGAGCAAAGGAGGAGAGGAGACCCCTTATAGACTATGGTAAAGTCAGAGTGACATGTATGTTTCTCTCAGAGGTACTTGAGTATTGTCAGAACATAAATCACTGCAGATGGAAGGGAGCTCTGAGGGGCACATTCTTATCCACATCTCATGATGAAAATTATGCATGTGCCTGGGAAGTCTGCTGGACATACAACTTCAAATATATTCTCTTGCTAGGTGCCGGTGGCTCATGTCTATGATCATAGCTACTCAGAAAGCTGAGATCTGAGGATCACAGTTTGAAACCATACTGGGCAGCAAAGTCAGTAAGACTCAATCTCCAATGAACAACCAAAAAGCCAAAGGTGGAGCTGTGATAAGAGTGCTAGCTTTGGGCTGGGAAGGTGGCTCAGTGGTAGAGCGCTTGCCTTGCATGCATGAGGCCCTGGGTTCGATTCCCCAGCACCACATAAGCAAAAAGAAAAAAAGCCGGAAGTGGCGCTGTGGCTCAAGTGGTAGAGTGCTAGCCTTGAGCTGAAGAGCTGAGGGACAGCGCCCAGGCCCAGAGTTCAGGCCCCATGACCGGACCCCCCCCCCCCCAAAAAAAAAAAAAAAAAAGAGTGCTAGCTTTGAGCAATGAAGCTCAGGGACAGTGCCCAGGCCCTGAGTTTAAGCCCAAGACTGGCACACATGTGCGTATACACACACATACACACTCACTCACACACACTATATTGTCTCAAAGCTGGCAGAGCCAGAGTAAGTGGCATGATGAGATCTCATTCTGGGACAGGGAAGAAGGAAGGACTCTACATTATCCATGAACAGCTCAGTCTGTGTGAAGGAGGCCCTGCAGAGCAAAACGTGTTGCCCCCTCCTGCATGGCTGCCCTCAGTGCCATATAAAGCTGCCTTCTCATACTATGGACCAACACAAAAATCAAGGTAATCGGCTCTAAATTCCTGCATTAGGAAAGACAAGGGGACATGTCCGAGACACTCTCAGTGACCACTCGGTATCAAGATCAGACATCACTCAAAAGCCAGGCACCCGTGGCTCACAAGTGTAATCCCAGCTCTTTAGGAAGCTGAGATCTGAGGAATGTAATTCAAAGCCAGCCCAGGCAGGAAAGTCTATGAGACAATGAGCCACCAAAAACCTACAAGTGGAGCTGTGGCTCTAGTGGTAGAGTGCTAGCTTTGAGCATGAAAGCTCAGAGATAGAGTCTGGGTCTTGAGTTTTAGCCCCAGTACTGGCCCCTAAGGAAAATAAAAGGGTTGGTGATCACTGAGTATTTCAACATTTCAGGAGAGGAAAAATATATTTGTTTGGCAAAAGTTAATACACCCATTTCTAAGTTTAAAGAAACAAACATAAAGTGATTTTAAAATACCAGTTGTCTTCCTTTTTAAAAATCGTGACAGATATTGGGCTTGAACTCAGTGTTTTCATACTTGCTCAACTTTGTTGTTCATAGCTGGTACTCTACCAATTGCATCATGCCTCCAGTTTGGAACTTCGCTTATCTTTTTTTTTTTTTTGCCAGTCCTGGGGCTTGAACTTAGGGCCTGGGTGGACACTGTCCCTGAGCCTCTTTTTGCTCAATGCTAGCACTCTACCACTTGAGCCACAGTGCCACTTTTTGCTCAATGCTAGCACTCTACCACTTGAGCCACAGTGCCACTTTTGGCTTTTTCTGTTTATGCGGTACTGAGGAATCAAAGACAGGGCTTCATGCATGCTAGGCAAGCACTCTACTACTAAGTCACATTGCCAGCCCTGCTTGGGCTGGAGTCTCTCTGTCTTTTTTTCACCTTGGGCTAACTTTGAATCCTGATCCTCCGATCTCAGCTCAGCATGAGCCACTGGCACCTGGTAGCAGTCCTTTGTGAAGAAAAATTCTCATCTAGTTCTAGAGCCCATGTTGGTGGCTCCTGGTCTTTGCAACCTAGTTCTTGTGCCCCAACCCCAATCCTGGTGATGAGTTAAAGCTCTCCATTTATCCACAAGGGCTGGGTGAAGGCAGCCATTGGGCTGTGTACCCTGAAGTTCAGCAATTGTAAAACTACTATAAAAGCAGCTGCCATTAACCAAGGAGGAACTCCCTGGGCCTGCTCCTCACTGGGACACAGCTCTGTGCTCTGAAGGGCACAGCCAAATAAAACACGCATGCTAAAAAGCCAGAAATATCACAGACTCACCCACTGTACTCACTCACACAATTTCCCATTCAAGATTTTCACAGGGGCTCCGTGGATCTGCTAATCATGTTCTGAAACATGACGAACCCCAGAGTACACAGTCAGAGCTGTGTTGGGTGCACTATGGGAATGAGCTTGAACTCTGTACCTTGATAAAGCTGCACCTTGACCTTCACCTCAGGGGTGTGGCCTGGGGACTGTGCCAAGGGAGTTTCCAGTAGGAGCTAAGTGAAGTGGGAGCAGTTTCATGTTCCTTGAGGACTAGAGTAGCACAACTTACATTCAAGATAAAGATTTGGGCACAGTCCCTTAGATTTTGCTGCTTAAGTCTGGCTTTCTACCACTTGAGCCACATCTCCATTTCCAGCTTTTAATTGGAGAGAAGAGTGTCACGGACTTTTCGGCCTGGGCTGGTTTTGAACCTCAATGCTGAGATTTCAGCCTCTTAAAGAGCTAGGATTACAGGTATGAGCCACTGGCACTCAGCATCATAATGCATGTACTGGTGTTTTAGGTGACCAGTTAAGAGAATTGCCAAGTAGAAAGAAATATGAAAAAAAAATTGATGGAAGTAAATTAACAAGGATTTGAAAAAAAAAAAGCTAAAATGTTTAGTCTGCATTTTTCCTGACAGCAGGAGTAAGAAAAGGAGTAAGAATTAAAAATACACATTTGTGACATATCACATCTTAATAATGGAAGAAAAAACAGCTCTTTGAATGATGAAAATAGTGGAGAGTGGCTGGAGTTCAAAATCAGGTATAATAACATACTCAAGACTGAAAGTGAATTTCAAGCAATTGAAATGGCTTTAGAGGTTGGCTCAGCAGAAACTGAAAATTACCTACGGATAAAATCTTTACCATAGTTTATCATTAGCTATGTTAATTTTATAAGGGAATTTCACTTTTGACCACTGGTTTTGTTTTCTGTGTAGACATAAAACCTGAAAAGCATTTCCAAATACTAAATACCAAATACTATTCTTCATACAGGTTTCCTCTCCCATGAATATCTCATTGGGAAATGCTTAATATAACATTAAATGCCAACATTAAATTGTGAATCAGAAGCCGGGTTTTATTTTCCTATAGCTTGAATTTCTGAACTAACTTGATATTATGAAGAAAAGAGGTAACCAAGAAAATGAAAATTTCCCCATTCTCAGCCATAAGACAGATGGTTAAAAAAAAATTCCATAAGATGAAAATTACAAGAAAGCTGTGAAATTTTCTTACACAGTGTCTGTTCACACATTTTCAAATAGTAAAATAATGACCAAGATAACTATTCTTTCCAAGCTACGTATAATTTGGTATTCATCACTATATTCTTTGAAGTGATGAGTGGCCTATGAGCAAGATGAAGTTATGCCTTTTATTTTTATGCTATTTAGATTCATTCTGCAAAGCTCCCTAGTTGTAAAATACATGGTAGAGTCTAAAGTAACACTGGTGCTGACACCAGGTTCTTGGTCTGCAAGCTCTCTGTCCTGGGCCTGTGGCAGGCGGTGTGCTTTCAGTATGGAAGGCATATGTGGTTGGCCTCTGTGCTCAGCTTCGGTGCCTTTGGAGGCTGCATCTTCAGATTCAATCAGTTGCAGGTTGAAAACCAGAAAAGACTGAACACATGTATACTCTTTTCTTCTTGTCATCATT